GTGGGGGGCACCTGGGTGGCTTAGTCAGCTGAGTGTGTTTGACTTCGGCTCAGGTCACGATCTCACAGTTTGTGGGTTCGAGCCCCGCATGGGGGTCTGTGCTGATACCTCAGAGCCTGGAGCCTGCTTTGCATTCTGTCTCACCCCCGCCCCACCACTCCTCCCCTGCTCACACTCTGACTCTCTAAAAATTTTTTTCAAAAAAAATTAATGTATGGAACTTAATTTAAAAAAGAATATGTAATTAAAATCTGTATGTGGCCACTGGAGTGTATTTATTACCTAGACATTTATAGAAAAAATTTTCATACCACGAATATAAAGCAAAATTATTTCTGTAGGCTGAGTTTAGAGAACACTCAAAACAATTTGTCAACTTGGGGCACCTGTGTGGCTTAGTCGGTGAAGCGTCCAACTCTATTTCAGCTCAGGTGATAATCTCAGTTTTTGACATACAGCCCCAGGTCGGTCTCCACACTGAGAGTACGGAGCCTGCTTGGGATCCTCTCTCCCTCTCTCTCTCTCTCTCTCTCTACCCCTAACCCGCTCACTTGTATGCTCTCTCAAAATAAACTTTTAAAAAAAGGCAACTCTGCATTCCTTTTTTTTTTTTTTAAAGTAGGCTTCATACCCAGTGTGGAGCCCAGCACTGGGCTTGAATTCACAATCCTAGGATCAAGACCTGAGCTGAGATCAAGAGTTGGACGCTTAACTGACAGAGCCACCCAGGAGCCCATCAACTGTGTATTCCTAAATGAAGCTTCTTTTGAGGGTTCATTTAATTTCCAATTATCACAGTGAGTCTCCTGGCAAAATAAATTTAACCTCATGTATTCACTTCTCATTTAAATGGGGCTCAAAATAAGCATTCATAGTATAAAAGATCAACATTTTCCAATGATTAATATACATGCAATTCTTATACCACTAATTATTCAGAAGCCAAACCATACATGGTAGGGAAGGGAATGCGAGTTCAGCGTAATTCATTTCTTTCTATCCTGTCTCCACCTAGCCCAAACACCAGCAACTACACAAATATGTACTCACCATTAGCCTTCAGTGAAGACAGGAGGCAAGCCATCATGCTTTTGGCTACACTCGGGTCAGTTACTTTTTTATGAATATCCATCTTTATCAGAGAAGGGAAGTTGGCAAGGAAAGTTTCTGGCAACACTTCCTGCTCTTCATGGAAACTCAACATTATTTTCTGTAAAAATTTGAAAGAATCTCTTGATTTTCAGTAACTCATTATACATCTATATCCCAACTACAGAAACCAGCAATAGGAAAAGGAAAGCAACATTCAGTAACTCTTCCAGTCATTATGTACTTATCACATAAAGAATTAATTAGCTTATAATTCTAGCCGAAGCATTTTCACTTTTAAAACCATTTGTCTGAATGTAATGTGGTATTCTGAATTCGATCCTGGAACAGAAAAGGACATTAATGGATAAACAAGTGAATAAAGTGTGGAGTTTATAGTACTGCACCAAAGCTGGTTTCTTAAGACTTGGACAAATGTAAAAAATGGGTGAGGGGTAATAGAGAAATTTTGTATTATCTTTGTTAAATCTAAAAATATTCAAAATTAAAAAAAAAATTTAAGTTTGTATTGCTTACACAAAAATGTAAATGTAAAAGAGGTTACAGTAGACCCACTGGTCATTCTTTGTATGTTCCTATGCTAAAAACTGTAATTGTCAAATATAAAACAGTAATGCATCAACAGCTCAATCACCAGCACACTGTAGTTAATATCTATGTAATTACAAGTAAGTGAGGCTACTCCACATCAGCCTCTTATTACACAGCCATCTGGCTAGAGGAGAAGGTAAAAAATAGGAATAAACTCTAGAGAGAATATCAGTAAACTGGTATGGGAGAGAGAAGAATTTCAGAAAAGGCTAAAAGGAACAACATGGAAGAAAAAAGCCATGTCACAAATGAAAGAGTCCAAATATATCTCTACAAGTATTTATTGGGCATAAACATTATCAAGAAGGAACTGTTGTTTTTTTTTTTAATTTTTTTTTTTTTTTCAACGTTTATTTATTTTTGGGACAGAGAGAGACAGAGCATGAATGGGGGAGGGGCAGAGAGAGAGGGAGACACAGAATCGGAAACAGGCTCCAGGCTCTGAGCCATCAGCCCAGAGCCCGATGCGGGGCTCGAACTCATGGACTGCGAGATCGTGACCTGGCTGAAGTCGGACGCTTAACCGACTGCGCCACCCAGGCGCCCCAAGAAGGAACTGTTTTTTTAAATGCATATGCTAAAATAAAATGCATATGCTGATGCATAGATCAAAATAATCATAAATTATATACGAAAAATTCACTGAAGTTGGGACAGGGCAGACATATGACAAGAAGTACTCCTATCTGCAAACAGACTCTCAGGGCAGCTCACCTCTATTATTTTTTTTATTACAATGAGAAATACATTACTGAGAAGGCAAGTGAGCCCCCTACAACCAAGCAAATGAAAGATTTTAATTAACTTGCCCTGAGTACCCAAAGAAGAGACCATTTAAGTTTGGGTACTTCACAACAGGGTAGGCCAAAAAAAAAAGGTTCTTTAGTTGTCTATATTCTGTTTTTACTTGAGAAGTATTATAACAATGTTTCCAAATAAAAAAAAACTCCTAATGCTGAGGAAACAATGGAATATGTCACGCTTAAGAATAAGTAATGGGGTGCCTGGGTAGCTCAGTTGGTTAAACGTCCAACTTTGGCTCAGGGTCGCATATCCACTGGGAGCCTGGGTGAGTTCTAAGTCCCACACTGACTTTTATAAAGCTGACAGCCTCAGAAAGTATTCGGGAGCCTGCTTCAATTCTCTTCTGTGTCTCCCTCTCTCTCTGTCCCTCCCCTGCTCACACTCACTCTCTCTTTCAAAATTAAACATTAAAAAAAAAAAAAAAGAATAACTAATAAAAGGGGTGCCTGGGTGGCATAGTCAGTTAAGCATTTGACTCGATCTCGGCTCAGGTCACGATCTCACAGTTCGGGAGTTCGAGCCTCACATAGGGCTCTGCGGATAGCACAGAACCTGCTTGGGATTCTGTCTCTCCTTCCCTCTGCCCCGCTCCCACTTGTGCTATCTCTCAAAATAAATAAAACTGAAAAATTAAAAAAAAAAAAGTAAGAATTCTTTTCTGTAGAGAATTTAGAAAGCAATGACATTTTTTTGACAGCATGAGAGAGCATGCACACACAAAACTGGAGGAGGAACAGAGGGATAGAGAGAATCTTAAGCAGGCTCCATACTCAGTGTGGAGCCTGACAAGGGGCTGGATCCCACAACTTTGGGACCATGACCTGAGGTGAAATCAAGAGCTGGACACTCAATTGACTAAGCCACCCAAGCGCCTATTGAAAGTACTGAAATTTTAAGATATCTCTGCTTACTTTACCTTAGTAAGTACTTTAAAACTACTGTAGTATAATTCTAAACCTGCTATTACCTCAGCCTCGGAGAGTTCTTTGTCACCATTTGGCTTGGTATACTTCTCCTGCATGAAGGGGATCCAGGAAATTTTACATTTTTTAATGAAGGGGGTCACATCTACAGTGCCCAAGGCATAACCACATATGCCATCTTCGTCTTCTAGGACAAAACAGTAATCCAGGCTAAGGGAAAGCAGCCCTCCTACTAACCTGCTCAGAAGAAAAGAGGGTAGAATGAGTTTTTAACCCCAAATTTTAGACTTCAGTGACGTTAAGGCCTTAACGTACTTGAATGGCAACCTACAGAAACTACATTGTAGTTTAAGAAAAAAACCAAAAAATACACACGTGTAAATATTCACATTTAATTGTAACTAAAGTGGAATTTCTAGAAAACTTTATTTCTAGCCATCACCTCCCCTTAACCTGATAAACGTGGCTATGAAATGTTACTCCCAAATCCAACAAATCCAAACACTTCATCACATACTTGTCTCCAATAAGGTCAGGCTGACTTTGAAAAGGTAAACCCACTCCATCGTCATACATTTCTCTGCAAATCTTGTACACGGAAGCCTGAAAATATAATCTAGTTAAGCAACACATCAAGAAAAATCGCAACAGAAATTAACAATAGGACTCAGTGAGTCAGACTGGACTTCTAGGACAGAGTAACAAAATGCCTGGCCTGTCATAAATATCCCCTCTGCTTTAATATTTATTCATTGAATCATACTTGTAAAATCAGTAGAAAACAGTATGGTATAGTAAACACTGAGAATTGTTTCAAAGGAGATGGTTTTAGGCAGTTAAGAAGTAGATTCAAAATGCTGCAAACTATGCTGCTGAGCCTCTCAGTTTTGTATACATCCAAAAATTTTTAAACATGTTAATGGTCTTTAAACAGGCTTGCTGTTTCCTGTAGCTGTCAACAGCGGGTAGATACTTCACAACTGGGAATTATAAAATACTAATATATTAGAGAAAATCAGCCAAGGACCATACCACTTGGACACACCCTAATACCTTTCAGCTGATTTTCATAGAGGAGGACTTACTTAAGGGATTTAGCTCAAAATGTTTATGAGTCTAACGTCCTTATTAGATTCTCCCTTAAATATTAACCCTCACGTGTTCAATGTTTCAGTTAACTTTCTCCACCTAAAGTTCCTATTTGAAAGTACCGAACAGATTCTCTTAACAAGGGAGTTCAAAGGAAACTTGTGAGCACCATAACCATATACCAAGTTGGTAGGTAGACAATTACCTCATCTTTAGGAAAATATGGTCTGATAGTATAAACTTTGGAGGTAGGAGTCAGTGGGGGTGGTTGAAAAAAGAGATCATTTGCCCCATCAATTGGCAGCAAACGCTGTGGGAAGAAACAAAAGGAGATGGATTAGTGTTGGGAAGAGATCCATTTCTTTAAATGGGTGTGCACTGCAGATTACCAACTTAACATTAACTGGCTACTGCAGGCAGACCTAAAGAAGAGGGGTGTACTATGCTTTACTAAAACAAACACCTCTTTGCTGGGGAAAGGGGGTGCTTCTGAATAGAAATTACCCAAACGGAGTTACATAGCTTTAGTGGCATATTAATGGGGATTTAAACTTATAGTAAAAAAATAAATAAAAAATAAAAAATCTATTCCAGTATCACAAATCTACTTTTTTTAAACCAATCTCATATAGACCATCTCTGTACTAAAAGATGGCAGAACAGAATGTCAGGAGGAGAGGTTTGGTCTGAAGAGGGTTATCTGTCCAGGAGACGCTTTATCCCCAAAGCAATGCGCTTCAGTTTGCTGTGCGCAGCAGAGCACCTGTTGGGGGGAGAAAAGTAGAGCACCTGAAAAGTCCATGAACAAATTCCAATCCAAAAGTTTCTTATTTTGTTCAAATTTTCATTCACAGACTGTTCTTTCAAATATAAGTTTTAGTTGTAAAATAATCGGGAAAGTATCCAAAAGCCCTTTCACCATTCACTTGCATAATTATTCATCCTTTTTGCTCATGGAGTTTCCACTGGCAGACAAGCATGCGCGCATTGTGCATTGCGGGCGCAGATTAAAATGGTGTGCGACCTGCAAAGAAACAATGTGAAGTGTATACCTAGAGCCGCTGCGCTTCGCAGGCGCGGGGGGAATTGGCAGCATCTCCTTCAGAAATTACTGTGAAAGAGGAGGAAAATTTGATTTAAAATCCAGCTATGTAACTAAATTGAATTTGGGACTAGAAAGCCTTCGGCAGACCAATCCTTCCAGCCATCTGATGCGCAACATAAGGTTTCTCATAAAACAAAGAAAATGTCAATTCAGTTGTGAATTCATATTGATACCTGGAACTCTCCTGCTAGACCACCTCTAAAGGCCCAGGGTTCTTGGTCTCCAATTAAGAACTGTGCTGAAGAATGACTACGACACCCTGTTGAGATCAGATCCAAGCGGAGAACGTTACGAGAAAGGGGATTTCCTGGGGTCTCAAACGTCCAACAAACTAACAAACACTTTGTGGAAATAACTCTCTAACAATAATAATCCAGGGTTTCAGGACAAGGCTGTGATAATAGTTTTTTTAAATTTGTGATAGAATTTCAATACTGATGTTTTTTCCTTTGATTCATGAATAATCACTTTAAGAGTTCTACTCTTTAATTATTGGAAGAAAAGCCAGTCTCAAGTTTGTCTGGGCCAAATCTGTAATATTCCCTAGATACAGCTATAAAAATCAAGCCAGCTGTTTGCTCTGTAGTAAAATCACAGTAATTATGAAAGTGAAATGAATGAGATAGATAATGAGACATTTTATTATCACAGCCCATGAAGGAATTAAACCTGTCTGAAGTCACATTTTACATTATGAGGAAGGGTACAGGAAGGGAAAAAGGGGAAGGGGAGGATTAATCTTGTCAGAAAACTAAGGTCAACGGAATAAACAAAAGAAATTGTTCAGTAAGTAAGTTGACATCAAAACACAATGAAAACTTTATTTTTTCTAACAAGGACGATCCAATTTAGACTTGGCTAATAGTAATGGTAGTCGGACAAATTCTGAGCACTAAGGAGAGTCGACTGATGCTCCTAATTTATCCACAGCTAAGACATACTTTTCTTAAAAGTATGGTAGTATCTGGCTCCTCTGATTGACGATTATAATTTTTGCAGTGCACCGAACACAGGCATGGAGTAACAGGGTTTGAGGTCCAGAAGTCAGCATTAAGATTACCACGTAACCAACTTCAGAGGCAATAAAGGAAGCTAACAAGAAATAGTTAAAAGCAAATATTTGGAGGCCAAATCAAAATCACCTGCCTAGTCTTCTGACAAGATAAAGCAGCGCAATATAGTTCTTTTCCATTGGAAGACAGCATTCTACCTCCTGTTCAAGTTAACAGTCTCATCAGTACAATATATAGTGTGCTAGTCAGACAGTCCCAAAGCAAACCAATTTTTTTGTTCACAATTCAGGCCCATTAAGAGATTATATCCAAGTTTGTCATTTTTTAGGGGTAGGGGTATTTTAAGAAAACATACATAATATGTAGATTTGTAAAATAAATATGAAATAGGGTCAAAATTTAGGCTAAGAGAACCTGCCCCATTCCATAGGTCAGTGTAAATTTACACTGCAGGAAAAAACTATACTCTCAAACTTTAAGATCAGCCAATTTCCCCTACCCCCCACTTTGAGACTACAACATAACTAGCACTTCCAACTATTACAATAAAAAGCTGCATGTACGAAGAGCTGTATAAATGAAAACATGGTTAATGCCTCAGTCGCTGCGCAAACGTGACTTCAGTTCATGCCTACTGCCCTTAAAACTGAGCTACCTCACAGATAGACCTTTCAATTTAAACTAATTAATCATGACGCGCTGTGAACATCTGCCGCTGTCCATCCAATAGTAGTAGACACTTGTGCTGAGGATTCTCCCATCTGTACACAATGGGGAAGAAGATAATAGAAGTCGTTAGTAATCAAAAGTACTGCATAGCCACATTCTTTAAAGGACTGAATGCCAGCTGGACTGGAGAGAGGAGGAAAACAAAGGGCTCTAAGCAGTAACTCCCTGATATCACTACAGATCTATGAAAATACTCTACTTGTCGTGAGCTTTTTCTGAAGCTATGTGCATGCCAAGATAATTATTTAAAATTTCTAAGATGCTCTGAACTTGAGATGTACAATAGCTACCTACACAATTTGGGAAAGCTGCTCCTGTAATTGCACAGTACAGAAGTAAAATCTGAGAGTAAACAAATACTGTACATAATCAAAAATTAAATTTTTAATAATTCTTGAATTACAAGAGGAGTATCAAATGTTTTAAATGATACTTTCCCAAGCCCAAGAAACCAGATTTCAGGTTGGAAACTTAAGATTTAAATCCCTGTGAGAAATTATAACCCCTTGGCCAGAAGCCTGGAAAGCAAATGCTGTCATCCAATAACCAATGTAGAGGTATTTCCTGAGCCTAAAGGCAGATATCTATCACAGAAAAGAGGTGTCTTGGAGCCTTTTAACAATAGGTCAAAATTCTCTCTTCTAGGGGTGCCTGGATGGCTCAGTCAGTTAAGGGTCCAACTCTTGGTTTCAGCTCAGGTCATGATCTCACGTTCATGAGTTCGAGCCCTGCACACTGGGCTGCGTGCTGACAGTGCAGAGCCTGCTTAGGATTTTCTCTCTCCCTCTCTCTCTGCCTGTCTCCTGTCCTTGTGCACACAAGTGCGTACATGCTTGCTCTCAAAATAAAATAAACGTAAAAAAAATTCTTCTATCTGTTGGGCTATACATATATATACAGAAACCCAAAGTTCTATATTTTCAAATTAACAGAGACTCTACATTTGGCTGATAATTAGCTGTGTCCCAGGAAAGCTATCATTAATATTTAAGAGTCCAAAAGTATGTAGGCAGAAAGTGAGAAATCTCACTGTTACTACTCCTTAATCTCAGCTCACAGTATTTCACATATCTATTTCACAAACAAGACCAGGTAACCCATCACAGTGTTTGTGACTACTATGAAAACTATGACATGTCAGTCAGCCTTGCTGCCTGCTGTGTGCTGTATGTACATCCATTACATATTCCTTATAGCTGGATTGAAAACCTGGAAATGAAATGAGGTCCCTGGAGAAACTTGGCCATGCTGGTGCTTTTTACCAAGTTTGAGATTTTCCAAAAAAATCAATTTTGAAAAGAAACATACATAAGTTAATTTAATGAAGGAGTTTTTAAGGGATTGCAATTTTCATCCCCTGCTAAAACCAATTACTTGGTAGAGGAATAAAGAAAAAGCCATGTGAAATAACACCAAGTAGCACCAGAATAGCCTTATCACTAAAGCTCGCATGCGCACAGGGCTGGGAGGATGGCTTCCTCTTGCCAGGCCCTTTAGGTCATTTCAGCAATTGTTCTGTTAAACACAGCATTAACGTTATCAAGACCCAGCAAGCAGCAGAGAGCTTACACAGTCACAATTCATAGTGTCTCATCTCCAAATCGGATAAAAGTGGTATACAGGATTCCATCCAGGAAGCATTCAGTCAGAGCAAGTTAAAGTCAGTACTTTCTAACACATTTTCAAGATATTTATGTTGAATTAGCCCAAGGGAGAAAAATCAATGTGCTTGATGTATTTACTGAGACTTGCACCTCAAGTCAGCCAACAACGGCTGTACCTTTGAAAGAAATCTAAGCAAAGAATTTAAACACAGTTGGAATTTCACCAATTCCCTAAATATTTTTCTCCCTGTGGGATAATCTTTTTTTTTCTTCATTTTTAAGGGACAATATATCTGAGGAAAAGAGATTATTCCTGGTGTACCTACCTAACCACTGTACAAAAGACTTCACCATAGACATTATACTCTTGATATCCCAAACATAGGAGTACATGTCATAAAGGATTGTCCTGTTGGCACAATTGGAGAGTCGAGTGAACATTCCCATCACCAGTCCACACATCTCCTCAAACTTGGCTGCTCGTGACCGCCATTCTTCAATCTATTGAGGATCAATAAAAATATGACTCAAAAACTGCAAACATAACAAAATAAACTGCTTATATTTTCAGGTCCCTGCAATTTATCCTAAACATTAAAGGATCACTGGGCTTAAACTCTTTATTTTATTTATTTATTTTTTAAAATTTACATCCAAATTAGGTAGCATATAGTGAAACAATTATTTCAGGAGTAGATTCCTTAATGCTCCTTACCCATTTAGCCCATCCCCCCCCCCACAACCCCTCCAGTAACCCTCAGTTTGTCCTCCATATTTATGAGTCTCTTCTGTTTTGCCCTCCTCCCTGTTTTTATATTATTTTTGTTTCCCTTCCGTTATGTTCATCTGTTTTGTCTCTTAAAGTCCTCATGAGTGAAGTCATATGACTTTTGTCTTTCTCTAATTTCACTTAGCATAATACCCTCCAGTTCCATCCACATAGTTGCAAATGTGGGCTTAAACTCTTTAGACAAGCAATAACAGTCTGTGTCTCCCCAAACTGACAAGTATTTCTGAAATAATCAACTGTGCCTTTCCTTCATTTTTCACTATAAGGTCAAACTATGGAACTCTATGTACCGGAATCCAAAACCACTTTCAAAGCATATTCTAAGATGTGGTCAATTTTCTGCTAGTTACCAATATATTCATTTAAGATGTCATATCATCAGCATGGGGATGCACCCAGGCTAGAGAAGCAGATATAAATCAAGCATACTCACTTTTTCAGAGTCTTTTCCTTTGCAATTGACACTGACAACACTGCTATTTGCTCGAAGCCACTGGAATTCCCGTAACATCTGCGCTCCTTTGGGTCCATGCTCATAAGGAAGGTAGAACAGGTCAGCAAGCAACTGCAAATCCTCCAAAGTCACTGGTTCCACAGTATACAGAGGCTTTTCATTGGGACCTGGCACAAACTGTTCCTTGTTTGTCTGTTCATCAGTCTGCATGGGGGCAATATCACTAATGCAATCTTCCTGCATAGACATCTCTGGGGATTTTGATTCAGCTATGCTCTCTTTATCTGTGTCCATTGGTTTCAATTCCTCAGCCATTTTAGCTTCAACAATTTCAGTGAGTATTTGATTGTCATTCTTGTGGTCTGTTTCTTCTTGTTTTTCTACTACCATGTCCATGGGTTCCTCATCTGGCTGTTTCTTTTCTTCTTCCTTGGTCAGAGCTGTAGGTTCACCACTCAAGGCTGCTCCCTGGCTCATAATGGGCTCCTGATAAACTGTTGTGACTACAGTTGTGGCATTTAAAGAGGGTGCTGCAACTAAGGGAGTCCCATCAACTACACTTGCTTTAGCTCCACTGTGTGCAACTTGCCTACCTACAAAAACAAATTGCCACAAAGATAATCAGAATTAGAAACAGAACAAATCAGATCTAGAGAAATGTTTTCTTATTGTATCTCTAACCTCAATTTGAGATTCCAAATATTAAGCCCTGAGAAAAGTGCAATCCCTCTAAACCCCAGGGAGGTAGGGAGGGAAGAGAAGAGAAAAGAAACAAATGATAAACATCCCCTAAATATGCCAACATGTATTATCTTCTCTTCTGAAGATCTAGATGTAAAAATAATTATTCCAGAAAAAACATTTTTAAAACAAATTAGCATTCCATCATGATAAAAGCTACCTCAGACCAAAAGTTAAGATTTTAAAAACCTTATTTCTCTAGATCCCTTCCCAAATTTTACTTTGTTTTACGGGCCTATGGTAGGAACATCAAAATGTTCTTTACTTTACGATTCAACCATGTGACCCAAACCCCCTTACAACAAAGGGCCAAACTCACTGCTATACTGATGAGGTACACCAAACTCCTGCAACCACTCTGTTAAAGCTAACTTTAGAGCCATCTGTGGACTATAGAGCACATCAGTTTCAATATCTTCATCACTGCCTTCATTTTCTAACTTTATCTGGATCGATACAGTACTGTCTTCACTGTCAGCTGCAAAAAAAAAAACAAAAACAAAAACAAAAAAAAACAGAAACACAAAAAACAGTTTTGATTACAAAAGCCTCCTGAAAAGTGAGAGGAATAAATGCAAAACACCAGTTGTTACAGTACAACTAGAGAAACAAGGAACAGGAACATGAACAAACCTTAAACATAAAAACACAAACACAACCAAGACCCTTAACTGAACCACTTCACCTATAAGTCATCTAAATGCATTGCTAAATGTAGGGGCACCTGGGTGGCTCGGTTGGTTAAGGGTCTAGACTTCGGCTCAGGTCATCATCTCATGGTTCCTGAGTTCAAGCCCTACATCGGGCTCTGCATTGACAGTGTGGAGCCTACTTGGGATATTCTCTCTCTCTCTCTCTCCCTCTCTCTCTCTCTGCCCCTCTGACATCACACGCTCCCTCCCTGAAAATAAATACCCCCCCCAAAAAAATTGTAAATGCATTGCTTAATGTAAAATCGCAAATGAAATACAAAACACTAATTTCAGGGGCTTCTGGGTGGCTCAGTTGGTTGAGGATCTGACTCGATTTCAGCTCCAATCACGATCCCAGGGTCGTGGGATCGAGCCTAGCCTCAGGCTCTGCACTGAGCATGGAGTCTGCTTAAGATGCATCATTCTCTCTCTCTCCCTCCGCCCCTCTCCCCCATTTGCATTCTCTCTCTAAAAAAAATCAAATAAATAAATTTTGAAAATAAAAAATTTTTAAAGCCACTAATTTTAGAATCACTGGAAAAGTCAGTCATAAATGTTCAGAGTGCCAATCGTTGGGAATGTGAAGTTAAAGGCATATGATTTCCATAAAGATAACATTCCCTACCCTTGAGGGGCTTATAAATTAATGGGAAAATCATTACGAAAACATACAAGCAAATTAGTAAGTATATTGAGGGGGAAAAAGAAAAACCAATAGAGAACCCACATATTAAGCACAGATAATAAATAAGCACATAATGAAACTCTAAACCAGCATAGTGTTAGAGAAAATGAAGTCTGAACTCTGGCTTAGTATCCAAAACCTTCTACTCTTAGCTTTCCTTCATATTTCCCTGCACATGGCCCAGTTTGGCTACCACTCAATGTGCTTCATGCTCTGCCTTAAAAGCGGTAGGAGGTAGATGCCACGTACCCAGAGGGAACTGAGACTATATTTTGTTGGTTTTTTTTTTAATTCAAGGGGGTGATCCACAATGATTGAGCCTTAAAGGGAGGCATTAATCCAATAAACAGAACTAGAAGGAGTACAGAACTGAGAAAGAGAACACAACTATATGACTACATACCATACCCAAGTACCATGATGTGACATTCCCATACCCCCAAATGAGCCCAAATTCAGATAACTTCAAATTTTCAACGTCCAGCGCTTTTATCTCTCGTCCACCAACCCTTTCATGCCCGGCACCTCTACTCATACTGTGATACTCGTAAGTATCCTCTCCTCTAGGAAATGGTTTCTTAGCACTTTTGCTTAGCAGAAATAATCATTCCCTCCTCTGTGTTCCCACAGCACTTTGTAAACAATTTCCTCAGCATTTATCAAACAACAGCACAGTCACCTATATGCTTTATCCAAAACCAAACCATGTTCTTCAAAAGCGGGGACTACTTTATTCTTTGCATCTTTAGTGCCAGGAAGGTGCACTTGCCAAATCTTACTAAGTGTTTAAATATAATGAATAAACAACTAGCCAGCATTCTTACTTAGAAACTCAACTGGGAATTTTTCATGAATAAAAAATCAGTAAGCCAATGTCTAAAATGACAACACAGAATATGTTCCATTAATATAAGCTGAAATCTAAATGATATATGAAGTAATTCAGGTAACAGCTAGTGATCTAAAATACCCCATTTAATAAAAATCACCAGAAAACATAAATTGATTGGGAATAATCCCAGGAATAACAGGAACACTAAAAAACTACTTTGTCTAGTGCTCCGATTTCAAAGTCACATTTTAAAAGTAAAGAA